GAGCCTCCTTTTATTTGAATCCAGCTGAAGAATTACCARTTTTATTGACTTTAAATTCATCAGCTGGGTTTTTTCTCACCGGTCAGAAACAGACGTCACTCTCTGCTGACGCACAAACATCACAAGTTATCAGATAAGGCTTTACATTTCAGTTCATAGCTTTCTTCAAACACTGTTTTCGCTTCTGATCCATTCAGTAAAGGCAGGTAATTGCTGAGAGCATGAAAGTAGAGTTATTATCTGCCGAATTCACTTTATGACTCATGTTATGCACAAATTTTATTGAGCGTCAGATCAGTTCAGTGAAAATAAAACAGCACGGATCAAAAAAATCTCATCACATTTAAGGCCACTTTGAAAAATAACCAAATAGTGCCTGGTTGTGGTATCTGAGTTTAATTTTTTTTATTTGTTACAAACATTAGTTTTCTTCAGCTTCTCAACAAAGCTTCTTTGTTTTGTTTGGTTGTTCAGGCTTGGTTTTCTTGTTGGGTTTAAGTGAACAGCTGTGCCAAAATTTTCCTCAGATTTCAGCAAACACAACCCCTGGCAAAAAGGATGGAATCACCAGTCTTGGATGAGCGCTCATTCAGACATTTCATTCAGTTAAACAAAACTCAGATCAAAAACGTGAAACAATATTAAGGTCCTTCCAAAGTGCAACTTGTTGGCTTTCAGGAACACTCAAAGAAATGAAGAGAAAACATTGTRGAAGTCAGTGAATGTTACTTTTATTGACCAAGCACAGGGGAAAAAATATGGAACCACTCAATTCGTGGAAAAAAGTATGGAATCACTCAAATTGGAGGTATAAAATAAGGACACACACAGTCAATTTCCTTTCCCTAAATGGACACCTGCCTCAGATTAGATCTGCTCGTTAGTCTGCAGTTCAAAACACCTGCAGTCATGACACCTTGGAGGGCTGCTGGATGAAGTGGAGTGGCAAGAACCATGACTCCAACAAGAGAAATGTCTCTTGAAACAAAAGAGAGGATTGTGAAACTTGTTGAAGAAGGTAACTCTTCACGCATGGTTGCTAAAGATGTGGGCTGTTCACAGTCAGCTGTGTCCAAGATATGGACCAGATACAAACATCATGGAATGGTTGTTAAAGCCAAGCATACTGGTAGACCAAGAAAGACATCAAAGCATCAAGACAAACAACTTAAGGCCATTTGTCTTGAAAACTGAAAAAGTACAACTAAGCAGATGAAGCATAAATGGGAGGAAGCTGGCGCCAATGTATGTGACCGGACCGTAAGAAATCGCCTTAAGGAAATGGGATTTCAATCCAGGAAAGCTAAAAAAAACCATCATTGATTGACACCTAAACAAAAAAGAACAAGACTGCAATGGGCTAAGGAGAGGCAATCATGGACTGTGGATGACTGGATGAAAGTTATCTTCAGTGATGAGTCAAGAATCTGCATTGAACAAGGTGRTGATGCTGAACTGTTTTTTGGTGCCGTTCCAGTGAGATTTATGAAGAGGACTGCCTGAAGAAAACAACCAAATTTCCACAGTCCTTGATGATATGAGGCTGCATGTTAGATATGACTTTTCATTAGTCTAGCTAATTTCTTGGGAAAAGAGCTCACATAATCTTGCCAACAAGCTGCACTTTGGAATGACCTTATTATTGTATCATGTTTTTGACCTGAGTTTGTTTTACAGAATGAAATGTCTGAATGAGTGCTCATCCAAGACTGGTGATTCCATACTTTTTGCCAGGGGTTGTAGCAATAGAAAACCATTTCCTCCCACAACCCCACCAGTAGTTCCAACCTTTCATGGATTTGGCTTCTTTTTGTTACAAAAAATAAAATCAAATAAAAAAATTACCCATACATATTTTTTCCTCTCCACTCCTGCCCGGGGTAAATGTACTTTATTTGTCATCARTGCACATTCCCATGCAATGATGAAATGTATTCTCTGCACTTGGGTTGGGAATAATCGTATCGTGTGCAATTAATCATCAGAAATATTGACATTAATCGATTATTTTTTGGCACTTGACGATTAATACGATTAATGCCGTTAGGTAGATTGATTGGTGCTCCTCTCCGCTTCAAATATGACGAACATTAAAAAAATGTTCTGTAATTTATTTATCTGTCAACACAATTAAAAATTTGATGTATAGTCTGAAGTCTGTAATTTTGACATAATTTGAAACAGATTTTTATGAAGAGCAAATCTTTCCCACTAAATTGGTCATGTGACCAGGACACAAGAGTGTCCAGGGACTCCAGGGAATTAATCGTCAAATTAATCGTTATYGGTCAAATACCACAATTAACCGTGATAATTTTTTTGCCAATATATCCCAACCCCACTCTGCATTTGATCCATCACACGTGAGAAACTCCCTGGTGGAGCAGCTGGCAGCTATGTAATCTCCCAGGGAGCAGTTGGGGGTTGRGTGTCTTGCTCAAGGACACCACAGCATGTGGGCATGGCGGTGAGTCAAACCTGTGTGACTTTCTAGTCCCAAGTCAGCTGCTCCACCACTACACCACAGCCCATGTTCAARACAAAGTGTTAAATCAACAGTAATGTGGTTTCATAATTGGCCTTTAAAAACATGTTYGAAACATTTTAAACCAGAATATTCTGAAAGATTACAAGTCATCCAAGGCTGCACGGTGTAGACGGTAGAAAYGATATGAAGTTGGCCTRCGGTACTAATTTACCCTCTACACACATCAAAACTTAAGTTAAAACAGTGATCAAAGTAATAAATTTCTGTGTCAAACTATGTTAAAAGGCAGGACTTAATCATTTTTAAAATTTCCACGATGAGTACATTTGAATAATGTACACTAAATTTAATGTTGTTATCTATGTTGATAAATATGTCATGGAACTGGAGTTGCTTTTTCAATGTTGACTAGATTTGAAAAATCTGAATAAGAATCAATGCTGACTAAAAGTTAGCAACTTCACCTACGTTGAGAAGCATTGTACATTTTGTATAATTCACCGGTTGTACCATGTATGGCRTATTGTGTGGAGGYATGGGGGAACGCCCGTGAAACAACCTTCTCTTACAGAAAAGAGCTGTTAGAGTTATCACTGGAGCTGGATTCAGAGATCATACATATTTATAGAGATGAATCTACTGAAGGTTAATGATTTCATTGAGTACAATATTTTAAAATTCATGTACAAAGACCATAAAAATCTGTTACCTAACAACATCCAAAGCAGATTCATCAAAAGAGAAAGTATAAATAATTTAAACGGTGTTGAGACTTTTGAAAAACATAGATTCAGAACTGTATTAAAGGGAAGGTGTATCTCAATTAAGGATGTTAGTCTGTGGAACGGTCTTGATAGAGAGATAAAACAGTCAAAATCTTTTTTTGTATTTAAAAAACTTGAAAATTACTTTGATGAAGCGTTAAAATATTGTTATTAAAGTATTGTTTTGTTGTAATTTTGTGTGATGAAATTTGTTTGTTGTAGTTTTGTTTGTTATAATTTTGTGTGTAGAATTACTCTCACCGTATGCTGACGGTGAACTTTTGAGTTGGTGGTTGATTTTATTTTGTGAGCGTAGGGGCAGATTTTATATGTTTATACTTCTTTCTGCTCCTTTTCATTCATGACTTGTTTTTAACTTAGTTTTGTTTTCCTTGACATTTTGATTTTGTTTGCATCATTGTTTATTTTATTGGATTTTTTTAGTATTGGATTATACTCATATTTCAATTCATAATTGAAATAAATAAACAAACTTCAAACTTCAGCTTCAAGCATGACGTAGAAATGATGTTGCTATTTCAACGTTTGATCAGATTTTCAAAATCAAAACAAAATTCAGTGGTTTTCCAACACAACCGCCTGATGTTGATTCAATAGTGACAAAATGCCAGCTTGGATAATGACTGAAGAAAGACGCTGTGCTGTAAAACTTTTACCGGACGGACCTGCAAAGGAAAAGGTAGGCTAAGTTTTATGGATTAGACACTTTATAATTTTAGTTTGTGTCAAAAGAGCAGATTTTGAAATATTAAGCAGTTTTTGAATTGTGCTGATTGGTCACGTAAAACTGAAGTTATTCTAAATAATTCACGCCATGTTTTTTCCCCTTTTCTTATTTTTTCTGATAAAYGTCCACATTTAAAGTCAGTGGCTGAAATAAATTAAATATTGCCATCCGCTCTCAGTTTTTACCCCCCACCTGGGCCAGTCCCACAGATAAATTCTCTGTCCTCATGTCACGAGCCATCAGCTGTTTTAACTGTCACACATTTTTCTTCTTCTTACTGTAGATTTTAATATAGTTGATAAATAAGTTTGAGCTGTGTCAGGACTTTTTTTTTTACTCAGCTGAGATTAAAAGAATGGTATAAAAGCCAAGAGGAGATGGAGGCCGTTTACGACAGCGCAGGCTTCAAATATGACAAAAATAAAAAGATTTAAAAAAATAAAAAATGTGAGGTGGATTATTTATCATAACTGTGGTTTCATGTGACCTTTCAGCACAATTTAAAGACTGGTGAATAGTTTAAATTTGTGTTTGAAATGAATTAAATCATCTCAGGTGGTTGTGTGTTCCTGCTTCAGCGACTGAAACTCAAATGTAGGCCCTAAAATATAACGAGCAGCAGTGGGTTTAATGGACAATGGTCTCTACAATCAGGTTGATTTTTAAAATAAAAGCTTTATTTTATTGTAAATGCTGGCCTCTAAATAACTGGAACTTTCTCCACTTAAATCGTCCTCACTCTGTAGTCCTTCGTCATGAATATGTATGTGCCTGTTAAAATGGACCAAAAAGTGGTCTGACCCATGGACCATGTAGGGACTGTGCTCGGGTAGTTCCGTGACTGTTTTTTTTAACTTATTTTTACATTTACCTGGCCCAAATGGGAAAAAAACCCAAAACAAAACATACAACCGTCATATTCTGCAATGGTAATTACCTGTTAAGGGCACTTGGGACGGTTATGGTGGGTGTTGGACTTTAAAGACACAAAAACCACGACTGTATGTTCTACATTTTTATTCTGTCAGCCACAGAGAAATCATTGTAAAAGAATAAAACTCTTGAATATTCCGAATAATGTATGAGCATAAATCCCTTAAAAACCAATAAAATAATTATTGAATATTCTGAAAAACAGATTGGTGAGGACAGTCGCCTTCTTTGTTCGCTGCTTCTGTTTTTTCTATTTCATTTGAACTAACCAACATTCATTAAGTGTGAATCATTTTTATAAAGGATGTAAATCAGTTGGTGACAAAGTTTGCTAAATGTCTCAAAACGGCAGATTTGTTGTATAGATTCTATTAGGCGTGAAAGTAGTCCAAACGGTTAAAAATTCATAAATAAAATAGCTGAACTGAGAAAGACATTCAATAAAAAACCTGTACAGTAAGGTGCACATACTCATACATGCAAAGTGAGACGTGTGTCATTTTTATTCTTCTCTATGTTAAAAAAAATCCAACATCTTTGAAGCATCCTTCATATAAATACAGTATCTGTGTGCACAATCAGCAGGTTGTTACGTAGAATGCTTACACATTAATTTTGGAAACCTTTTCCTTAGGAAAAAAAGTTTGAATGACTTTACCATGCAAGAGAGGTAACAGGTATTAAATGGCAAAATTCTCCAAAGATGTTGGAAAAAAGTACAACGTATACTGCAGCCCCCGCTGTGGAGCTTTGTGTTAAAGACACACCTCAGTAAAGCCAATAGAACGCACAAAACATGCTTTTTGCATAGAAAATGACTGAATAGGAGCTTGAATATTAAGAGATTAAAACAAAACATATTAACGATCTCCAACTGAGATTTTTAAAACACTGTAAAAAGTTGCATGTCAGTAACTGACTRTGTTGCTGGATGTTGCTTAAAACAGTCTGCCCACAAAACACGGAGACTTCAGTCTGTGAAGTCCAGGCACCAGGACTGGTCGGTGCTCTGAGGCTGAACACCGATGCTGGACCTTCGCGATGATGCACCGTCCCTGCTTCCTGTAGATTCTCTGTTTCCCAGTAGACAGTCCAGACTGGTGCGCTCGGAGGCAGGCGGACTGCCCAGGGGGASACTGGGCTGTAAAACGTCCAGTTGTATCGATCCTGCATCAAAAGAAGAGGCAGCTGGCTTGCAAAGTAAAGTAGATGAAGAAGAAAGAGGGCGGATGAAGGTGTTCATTTGGAAGATTGATGCATCCCGACTCAGCGGGTGAATGTCCTCGTTTGAGGTTTGCGAAACGCCGAAATGGGAATGGGAGCTGCTCSGGGCGTCCAGCGGGCTGTGTGTAGATGAACCTGTTGCAGCGCCGGACAAAAGGCARTTCAGTTCATCGCCATCACTGGGAGGCTGCAGGCACAACGTGGGATGAGACTGGCTGACAGAGGATGGACTAGCACTGAGAGGTCTGGAGTCTTCATGCCTCCCGTGAGGCGCTAGTCCACCACAGTAGTATGGAGTGAGAGGAGACGAGCTGGTCCACGGGGGAGAAGTCATGCTCTCAGAGCTGTGACACAGACCTAAATTAGGTGCAGAGCTTAAAGAAAAACAAGAGTTAGTGGGAAGACTTGAAGACTGGCGGCTCTCGGTTTGGGATTTAGCTGCTTCACTGCAGCTCCACTGGGCAGTTGAACTTTGGTTGTGGGCTTTGTGGCTCCCAGGACTGGCATGGAGGCAGAAGGCTGAAGTGGGATCTACCGGCATGCCGGTGTTGAAGACTGTTGGAACGCAGGAGGGAAACGAGGCCTTGCTATGATTTACAGATATGTGAGTCTGGAGGAGGCTCATCATGTGGTGCAGGCCCTTGGTRAGCTCTGATACTTCTTGATGCAGTGTAGCCACCTGTGTAGAGTACATAGATGTGTTACTGCCATGTCACAAATCTTCCCCCAAAGCAATCTAATTTGGTCAGGCGCACACTGAAGTTTCAAAAACACAATTTCTGTTTGTTGGGTCTGTTTATTTCCATCCTCATGTTCATATATGATTTTGAAATGTTCTTTAAAGACAAAACATTATATTTGAAGGAAAAGACAGTACATACGTAAGCTGAGCCCAACTTACTCCCCCACCCAGCCCCCTTTAGATAGTTGAGTCAGCACTAAAAGGATCATCTGCATTGCAGAAAGTGTCCTGCTGATTAATTAATAGTTACTTCAAATTGCACCTTCCTCAGTTGGAGTCTTTGCATCACAACAGCTTCGTGCTCTCAACTGAAGTGCAAAGACGGACTGACTCACAGAGAGAAACGCAAGCTTGTTCTAGTTTATTTAATCAAAGAGAGAGTATAACAAATGAGAGAAAATGTTTGTTTTCCCTTTGTGAAGTTCTGAAAATTATTTAATTTTTGATAAAAACATTTTATTGGGTTATTTGCTGTCAGCCAAAAAAGACAAATTAGAAAGAAACGTGTAACAATGTCTTTAGTCCTATCAACTTGAGTTTATTGGTTCTGCATAGGGTGGCACGGTGGCTCAGCTGGTACAGCTGATGCCTCTCAGCAAGAAGGTTGCCGGATCAAATCCCAGCTCAGGGTAGATCTTGCATGTTCTCTCCGTGCATGCGTGGGTTCTCTCCAGGCACTCCGGCTTCCTCCCACAGACCAAAAACAAGCCTGTTTGGTAACTCTGAATTGTCCTTAGGTGTGAGTGAGAGAGTGAATGGTTGTCTCGTTTGTCTCTATGTGTAGCCCTGTGATGGACTTGAGACCTGTCCATGGTGTACCCCGCCCCTCGCACTGTGACTGCTGGATAAGGGCACTAGAAAAGGAATAAATGGGTACAGGTAATGTATGGATGGATGGTTCTGCATTACCTTCAGGTTTAGTTGGTTTAAGCCTTGCTTGACCTCCTGTGTCTCAAGCAGCAGGGTGGCATTAGCTCGAGTAGACTCTGAACCAATGAGAAAAATTAAGCAACTGAGTTAGAAAAACACATTATTCTAGTAGGTAAATAAAAGTTATTTAATGGTAAATGGACTGAACTTCTACAGAACTTTCAAGTCCCTCCGGACCCCAAAGCGCTTTACACATAAGGCCCCCATGAGGTGTACTTCACTCTGCAGAGGTCTGCGCAGACTCGAAGCGGCCGTCCACCGGACTGGTCCATGCAGAGATCCATTTTTTACGTCCGYRTYTGCRGTGTTGCATTATAAACYGCCTGSTGAGTACTGTTTTAAATRTGACAYCAAGCTGTTAAAGTTGAGAATCTGCTCCATTTGTGGACGAAACGGAGTCAGATCTTGAAGAGCGTCTCATGGAGAATATTAGAAAACAATGATACCTCAGTGAAGGAATATAAGGCTTTCAGCGAGCAACAAATTTGTGGGAGGAAGTAGCTCAGATAAGGTAGTTATTTTCTTTTTAATTTTGTTTTAAAGCTAAAATGCAAACTGTCTCTTCCTCCTCATCCTTGACATCATGACWAAAATTGTGAGAAATTAAAGAATTTGTCAGACGGTCAGTACGCTCGAGTATGAAGTCTCAGACGTCTGCGGACAATACGCAGCTCAGTTCACGGACCAGACATGGTACTTTCACTTTATAAGACAGTGTTGACGTTGTTGTCCTGCTCTGTTCACATTCAGACATTCCCCTTTGACATCACTTCCTGTTACTCCACATGCAATATCTCAACAAGTGTAATTTTTTTTGCAATATTATTAGTGTTATCTTTCCAAAACTGCATTCACTTTTATTACTAAAATTTGATGTCAGCGGCACTTTAAACACATTTGCAAATGAAACTGTTTATTAAATCAGAAGACTGCTACCTATTCTTTCATAGGACGAGATCAGCACAATTAATAATTAAAGTTTGTMTGGCAAAAACTGTTGCATGAGTAAAGTAAGCTTGTTGGACCGTATCTGGCCTGAACATGCCAGTGATCCTTTGTTATCAGTGAACCCTGCTCTGACCTCACTTATCCTTGAACGTGTTCCCTGACCCCTCGAACACCTGGCTGTCGTTTCGCTCAGCTGTGCTCTCAGATTTCCTCAGAAGGCGGCAGCAGCGTCCTGTGCCAGCCCCTGTGTGAACTCGTGAACGTACCCCGATGCCAGCTGGCATCAAGGTTACCCTCACAGCTGGAGGCCGTGTGTGTTACCTAGGGTGTTGCCACTTGTGTCGGTGTTAGAGGGGCAGCGCTCCACGCTGAAGTTGAACTTGTGCCCGTTGTCTTCAGTGCCATCAACAACCCTGACAGGAGGGAGAGAGAGAGAGAGAGAGAGAGAGAGAGATGGGATAGTGGGTTAATGTAACATTAGAGCTTTTTCAATTATCATCAGAGCCACAAGATGAGCCACGAACATGCCATGAGAGCTGCTGCTGGCAGACGCTCGTGTGGGTTTAGGATTGAAGGCAGGAGACGAGTGTGGAGGGAGTGGGACATTTGAGCCCTCTGAACCAGCCCTTACCCATATCTAGAGCTTATTGGGTGATGCATTATAAATACAGATGGATGGAGCAGGTGGATAAGGTGCTTCTAGTAATGAAATACAGTAACATCTGTTGTAATATGCAATGCAAATAGACTTCATCTGCATTAAACACAAGATGCAGGTCTCTGTAGCATGGACCGAGAAGGTCATTGCCGGAAATAAAAATCTATTTAGAACCTTTTTAACGCAAGACTTTGACACATTTAATGTGTATGTTGATGTAGTGTTTATATGTACATAAATATATATGTATGGTCCAAATACCGTGACTGAAACAACACAGATGTGTTGTTTTTCTTTTTTTCTTGCAAGRAAATAGATTTCAAGATGAATCAACATTTTCTCGTAAGATAACGGTCATGTTGAACTGGGTGTTGAAAGAAAAAGACATAAARTAAAGTGTCTAAGACTGTTTGAAAAGGGCAAATTAGTTTTTGGGTGAATTTAATGACGTAAACCAGCATGAGATGGGATTAAAATGAACACATTTGGGAAAACACTGTTTAAAAGGAAAAAAAAAACATAATTTTCTTATTCATGCACCATCAAACACGTCTCAGAATTTTTAGCTAAGGTAAATTGCATTGAATATTAAAAAAATGTCATATTGATTTCATTTTCACGTTAAAATTAGACTTTACCATTAAAACATATTTATTCTGTTCAGTTCAACGCTTTCCCTAATCTTTGTTTTTTGTGTTCTTTGCGAACTTTGTGTTCATGATGTTGAATTGACAGAAGTTTGATGATACCTGGGGCTAAGATCTGGTGGTGCGAAGCAGGTGATCGTCGGGATGARCAGCGTGGAAGGCTTTTGCTCAGCTGACGATTCATTTTGGGCTGAGGTCGAGGCCCGAGAGCGGGCTAACGCAGGAGAACTGCGCTCTTTTTTCAGCGCTGGCTGAGAGGACGAGGTCTGCCCCAGGAAGCTGCGGCTGAGGTTTGGAGAAAGGCACCGTCGCAGGGCACTGAACTGCCGCAGTTCGTCCCCCAGCAGGTTCCCCAGCGAGGTACGGCGAACAGGACTGGTGAAGTTTGGGAGGAGGAGGTTACGACGGGAGCGGGTGGCTGGAGACGGGTGGAAGGGTTCATCGGGGTCATCATTCCTGATCTCCACGATTGAGGGAAGATTGGGCTCCTGCTAAAGAAGAACAGAACATGGAAAGTTACTAATTACATTCTCTTCAACCAGAAATCAAATTTAGGCAAAAGGAATGCAGTGATATCAGCACAATTACAATAATTAATATATCAAGGCACCCCTTTTGTGTTTTTGCTTGAAGGCTTCATGCAACCTTTAATAACAGTTGACGTGAACATCTATGGGGCGCCAAGTGTATGATGACATCATCATCCTGTGACAAAAGCAACCGCTAACGCCTTTAATGCTTGTGGCTGCCCGATCCATCCTGGAAACACGATCCGTACCATTTGTTTTTAGCATGTAGCATTTCGCTAGGCTGATGACAGAATTCATTCGATTTCAGTCTTTCATCACCTGCAATGTTTCATAGACAAGGCAACGTTTGTAACAGATGTGGATTTTTATTCCAGAAAAAAAAGATGGATGGAAAATAGTCCACAAGTTATTATAAATAAATGTGTACACATTGTAAATCTCTAATCAAAATGTATATAATATTAAAACTGTTTTCAATATATAATTTAACACACCTTCATAATTAAGTATGGAAATAATTATTTTCAGTATTTTTTCCTAATTCAAGCGCATTCCAGCAGTCTATCATTTAGCGCATGCACAGAAGAGCTGACGGTATGAATTGCGCTTCCAGGACAAACTGGACGGCCACAATGCTGCTGAAGATGGCAGTTAATATTCAAAATGTGTTCATTGAAAACAACATGGATGGTACCTATGGTCCAGAAGGTCCACATGCAGCTTGGACACTGACCGCAACTGCAAGTTCGATGTCTTGTAGGGAAGTGTTAGCAGCGTTAGCAGCGTTAGCGTTTACTTTAGTCTCAGAATMCTTACATCATAACAAAATCAGCACACCAATGGCTGCGTTGGATTCCAAAATACTTAAATGTAAATTTCAACTGTTAGCCACAACATTTAAGGTTTAACTTTTACACAATTTGATTTAAAATTTAGTAAAACCTGAAAATGTAAGAACAGTGAGCTAAATAACAATAAAATGTTAGTGGAAAACTGTTCACTAGGATTTTGCACCCAGAAAATGAACTAAATAATGAAAATGTGTTAGTGACATTTTTCAAAAACCTTTTATTTTACACTTGGCACCSCATAAACCTTTTTCTTTTCACAATGCAGGGAATTTATTTTGGTCATTTTTAACCTTCCATTTACAAGACAACACAAAAACATAGAACAATGACAACAAAACAGAAGTAACACATAAAATAAATAACAAAATACACAATGTTTGAATTACCGTAAATGTCAAAAACACAAGATACAGACCAAAAAAAGTGTAGGTAGAAGCATAAGCTTTTAACACCTTCACTTTTTGTACACACATTATCAAAACCAAATCAGCAACATCTTTCCTATAGATTTTTCTAAAGGAAATCTCCACTGAAATTCTAACCAAATTTGTAACAAACTCAAATAACGGCAAACAATCATTATCAAACCTTGCTGTATTTGGGTAGTAAATAATTTTTTATTTAATGGAGTGAAAAACACAGTTTTAAAACTTCACTACAATTATTCCAAACATAAATCCCTCTAACAGAAGTGCAATTGTTTTTAATATTTGTCCTAACCTTTGGTTTTTTAAATAAACCTTTAGTTATATGGTTTGTTCATTGTCAATGCTGTTCTAAGCTCTACTRAATCATAATTTTTTAAAGTATGCAATGYAAGAAATATTTCATTTGTTCAATGACAATAATCTGATGCATTTATAATTGGTATAGCTTTCATCTGAAGCATGTAGAAAGGTTCTGTATTGGTTTTACAAGAATTTCACCAGATCTCCACAGTAAGTCATGTATGGAGGTATTAGGCAACAGCATAACATTTATAGCAATTTATTAGTATTAGTATTAGTATTAGTATTAATATTAGTATTAGTATTTCAATATTGTTTATCATGAGTTTGACATCATTTTTATTTCTTTATTACTAAATATTATAAATTTAGTTTTACCATAATTTAGTGATCATCTACAGTATTTGTTGCACCATTTATTTAATACCTTTAATTCATTTTACATTGAATTCAGAAGCTGCTTCAAATTGTTACCAGAGCAATATAATGTAGTRTCATCAGCAAATAAAGTAAATGTTAATAATTCAGATACATGGCAAACATCATTTATGTAAAGTAAAAAAAGTTTAGGGCCCAGCACTGACCCTTGTGGTACTCCACAGGTAACCTTCCATAAATCAGAATTCACATTATTTATTTGCATATATTGATATCTTTCATCTAGATAATGTTTTATTCAACAATGTGCTATTCTTCACACCACAACAGTAAGCCATGGTCTGTGGTATCAAAGGCTTTTTTTTTTTAGTCTATAAACACTCTAACAGTAAACTCCCATTTATCTATAGAATTTGCTACATTTTCTGATAGTTGCATTACCACCATTGAAGTTGACCTTTTGGCTCTAATGAGAATCAAATAACACTAACAATATTTTTCTACAAAGTTATCAAGTTGTTGCAAAAATATTTTTTACAAACCACATATCACTTCCAGTTGGAGCTGTAGGTTTGATTTTTTAAGGTTTTTTTTACAACATCATTTCCTTTTCATTAACTCCTCTAATAAAAAAGTAGATGTTTGTGTTAATATTACCTTCATCCGAACTATCTTTATCACTAAACACCATGTTTGACAAGTCATGTCCAACATTTGCAAAATACTGATTAAATTCATTTGCACAGTCTTTGGAATCATCTATAATTTTACCATTTCTAACAAAAAATTTTGGAATAACTTCCTTTCACTGCATTTTTTTATTAAGTTGTTGAGCACTCTCCATGTTTCCTGGATGTTACTTTTATGCTGCTCCAAAAGATTGTGATAGTACTCCTTTTAGTTTTTTATAGTAATATTTGCTTATTTGTAAATAGTATACATAGCTTATAATTATTGTCAGCACATTCAGTTCTCTGCTTGAATTTTTTTATATTTTTTTCYAATTTACATGCTTTTACTCTTCCTTTTGTTAACCATGGTTTGTCTAATTGTTTTGGTTTCATGGATAATTTTTTCTTTCAGTGGACAGTTTTTATCACAAAGCCTCATTAGTATTGATAAAAAAATTTCATAAGTGGTATCAATGTCTCCTGTTCAATATATTTCACTCCAGTTTTGTTCAGTTAAATCTGCTTTGAGGGCAGCAACATGTTCAAATGTATGYCAAACATGATATAAAAGAACACTACTTATAAAACTACTTATAAAAAACTACAAAAACAGGTGGCCAGTAATGTCATTTATAAGAAGACCAGACCTATTATTAATATCAACTGTATTTACAAATAAAAACATCATAACCTTTCTTAAATTTATATATATAACATGCTGAGAGAATATGGTACATARGGGAAGTAGCTCAAAAGATTTAGTAGCGTTATTGACCCAGTTAGTGAACTATCTCCTGGGACTGAACTGCTGTCTGTTCTAAATGAGTTTCAACCTGAAGGGGAAGACCTAGTCCAAGCCCTGCTCCAGGACTCGCCAGCAGTACAATGTGTCCCAGAAAAACAGGAGGGCTTGCCCAAAAAAAGGCRCATGATGCTAAAAACTAGGTGATATTGATATGCGACAACAGCTGTGTCATAGTCTTGCTGACTCTATGATCCTAATTATAGCATAAGTCAAAAGAAGGTTTTACACAGTATAGTTCTTATAACTTAATGTGCGCTGAACTCACGTGGGGAAGTCTGGGTGACCTGGTAATTCTGTTGAGACCCTGAAAAATACATGAAAAAACAAACAAAACAAAACAGGGATCTCAGAGTTTACATTTAAAGAGATCACAAAACATGTCTTTTGGAAATTATGCTATTTTTGCGATTTATTTATTTATTTATTTATTTTTTTGCTGCTTGCTGAAGTTTGGAAGTTGGGATTGCATGAATGGAAGCCACCAGCACCACATAGCCTGTAAAAACAACATCAATACCACAACCTCAGGAAATAGCAACAACTTGTGAAAAAGAGACGTAATATGTCTCTTCTGACAGCATAATACCTTTGCTACATAAGCTGAATCTCTCACTCCATTTTTCTCAAACGCCTAATTGCACAGGGRTCTCAGCCAAAATGAGTTTTTCTGCTGCTGTGTGGAGGAATTAGTGTGGCATATTAACCAACTGGGTGGGCAATCAATTTGCGATGGTGTAAAGCCTTCCCTTGTGTGTGTGTGAAAACTTTGCCTCTGACAACATGGCTTAATGTGATGGCACACACTGCAGTGTGTTGCTCCAGTCCCAAACAGGCTCTATGATGCAGGAATGCATTAACATWAATCTTTTATTGAAGCAAAATACAAAAATAAAAAGAGAAGTAATGAAACTTCGCACCACTTGCTGGATGGGGGGCTGTAAAAGCCACAGGGAAGATCTTTGAGGCTGTTGAAGACGAGGACAAATTCTTCTCATAAAAGGAAAAAATAACCCGGAGGCAGCATGGAAAGGTTATCTAACTATCATGGAACATTGGTGCCAAATGACAAGACACGAAAGCCCTTAACAATTAATAAGAAACTGATGCCACAGGTGTCCCACATGGAAGATGTTGCTTGCACATGGAAGATGTTGCTTCCTAACTTTTTACAAAGTATGCACAAACAGTAAGGCCCGTGAAATGAATGTATAAGTAAAGTTTGTTGGAGAATGATAAGATCTGTCTAAACTCCATCTGGTCAAGTGAAACAGTAGTTTACCCAAACACAGTAGGAAGGCTGTCAATGAGCTGAACTAAGGTATGGCGACAGTATTGGAGTCTGGGAGTAAAATAACTTAAGACAGTTGTGACATTTTATGGTCAACTCTCCTTCAGTCCAGTCAAATCTACAATTTACAGAAACCTTTAACACTTATTGTATTTTACCCTTTCCTTTTCTATTTACTTAGATTAATCCAAACCATTGTTTATCTTTTTTCCTTYGCTTAATCTGACTGACCACACTTTTACTTTGCACCCCATGAGCACTGCTCCTTGTGGATTCATGTTCACAAAAGCAGAAAAAAACAACAACATTGATTCACTGCTGGATTTATGATGATAAAATAACCATCTCACTCCACACAGATTACTTAATACTTACTTTAAAAACTCACTTTCCTAAAGACAAAGCACTTTTAGAACAAACCATTCAAATTGTTCAACCTGACAGCCTGGCATTCCAACTGATTAACAACTATGAGCTGTAATATAATGCYGAAGGGTAAAATACAGCGGGTAAAATAAGTATTGAACACGTCACCATTTTTCTCAGTAAATATATTCAACCCATTCTCACTCCCGAGTCGTCACATATTGATGTTTTTCAAAGGTCCCTTTGCGTCCAATTTTGACGCATCAGGTACCCCCCTTGCGTCATATTTTGACGGGATGGGGCGGAATCTGTTGTCGTAATTT